ACGCAATGAAAAGATTTTGAAAATGGAAACTCTTTGCTCAGCATAAAACTAAGACTTCTCCTATAAAGTCAAAACCTTAAAGAGATTCTTCTAGGGTATTATCAAAATTTAATAACTTGTTCTTTAATTGAACAAGTTTTATCATTCTTTAAATTCAAAGACTATTTTTTTTTTGAAAGTTTTGGAATTTGATTTCCAAAATTTAAGGATTCTTGTAATTCTAAAAAGGCTTTAAATCTTTCTTGGACTTACTTGAGTTTTAGAAATTTTGTTATTCAAAATTTTTTTAAGACTTATAAAAGCTTTAAACAATTTTTTTTAAAAAAAGTTTTCATCTTTTTCTTAATTGTATGTCAAGTGGTTTTGGAGTAGATTGTATTTATAGTACTAAAGAAAAAAAAATTATAAAAGAACTTAATTTTTAAATTTAATTAGAAACAAATATGTTGCTTTGTGAGTGTGATTTAATTAAATGACTGGTGAGCTTTTGAAATCTAATTAGTTGAAATTTAGTTTTATTTTTAATTATTTCTAACCTAATTAAAAATAGAAATTACTTATAAATAAAATTTGATTTGAAGAATTATGAATCATTAAAATTTGATTAATAAAATCACATGTCCTTTTATTTGCCAAATATCTTAGACAAGTATTAATAAGATTATAGCATAAATTTATTTATAGTTTTAAGAACATAAGTGAAAATTCACATTTTAAAATTTAATTTTATCTATTTTTTATTGTAAAAACATGTACGGAAAATTATTACATTTTTTTCACATTTAAAGAAAATATATATAATTTTTATTTCTTAATATTTATATAAATAATCAATTTTTTATTTATTTCATAAAAATAAATACTTACTATAAAATATCTTAATCTTGAGTCATATTAAAAGATAATAATAATAAAAATTGTAAAGTTGATACAGTTTAGTTTACAAAGCTTGGTAAATTTTTATTAAGAATTTATTTAAATCAGTGAAAAGATTAATTTTAATAAAATTAAAAATAATAAAAAATTATTATAATTATAATAAAAAATCATTATAATTACGATTAAAAAATTTATATTAAATAAATTTCATTAAAATTAATAATAAAATTAGTATGATAAGTCCAATTACGACTGAAGTGCCCAGAATTCAGAAACCGGCTATGGCTAAGGCTAAGACTGTGACCGGACTCAGAATCCGAAGAGTTTTCAGTGTTCAATTTCTATAATCCGACTCTAGTATTTTCAATGGAGAAACGTCCACCGCCCGAAACCATCCAAATTCGACTGCTCTGCCCCTCCGCAAAAACCGGCGCCCTAATTGGTAAAGGCGGCTCCGTCATTCGGCAACTCCAATCTCTAACTTCCACCAAAATCCGCATCCTCGACGACCCTTTCGATGAACGCATCATCCAAATCGTCGCCGATAACAAAACTCCAATTTCCCACAACGCCGACAACCCAAACGCCAATGCCACTGCAGAGCCAAAGCAAGATTCCAGCGATGATGGCTGCAATACTTGTTCTTCTGGAGGAGGTGCTGGTGGCGGGGAGGAGGAAACGACGTCGTCTTGGTCGCCGTTGCAGAAGGCGGTGGTTAGGGTATTCGAGAGAATAGTGAAAGGTGATGCGGCTGATGATAAAGAAACAGAAAAAGAAAGCGAAAATTTGGTCGTTTGTTGTAGAATGTTGCTAGGGTTTAATCAGGCTGGGTGTTTATTGGGTAGAGGGGGTAGGGTTTTGGAGAAGATTGGGCATGAAAATGGGACTCAAATCAGGGTGTTGACTAGGGATCAGATTCCACCATACGCTTCTCCAGGGGATGAGCTGCTTCAGGTATCATCTTTTCTCTGTTCTTCGCTAATGACTTCTTAATTTTCTATTTTTCTTATTCAATTATAATTGTTTAATATGCATAAAAATGATTAAAAGAATTTTTACCGTAGTCTAGTTATTAGATTTTGGTATTGCAGTTGAGGTGCAAAAATAATAATTGAGAGCAATCTCAGTGCAATTGCAAAATTAAGTTCCTACTCTCTTTTGCTACTGAGAGCAAACTTACCTTGTATGGCAATGTTTTTGTGGCCAAATTCAAGCCAAATTCAATGATCACAATCAAATAAAGCTCTAATCACAATGCCAACTGAGGCTTTAGAATTTTAAGCTACATCTAATGTTATTTTATATGTTTAAATTAGATATAAATAGTATCTTTTTCATATAGGACCCATGTGAATACTTTATTTAATCCGTTTTTAAAATTTTATATAATAATTATATATTAAACATAGAGTTGCATATTATACAAATAATTGAAACTAATAAATTTTATATTATCCAAATTTTGTCGTAATATGTAAAATTTGTCTCAAGTGCAAAACATATCATATTAAAATAAAGTTTATTGCTTTTGATGTTAATATAAATTTAGAACTCTGAAAATGAAACAATTCAATGTAAACCTTAACTCTTTTTCATTTATTAAATAAATTCATTTAATAAAAGCCTTCAATGTAATTAGAATTCTTATTTATAAATTAGATAAATCGTATTAATATTTATAATGAAAACATTGAAAATGGAAATTTAAAAATATAATGAGCAAAGATGTTGGTTTTAGTCAATCAAAAGTTTTACCAACATTTGTGCTTTTATATAGATAGGTAGGATTGGTGTACTATAGCTCACTACTCCTAGAGAATTTACAAAGATTTGACAATGATAGAGCTAGAATCAATCAAATTTAATAGATGGCTGATAATTAATGGTTTTAGAAGTTTGCTGGTGTAGATTGAAACTGATAATAGAAGCTTGCAAACAGAATAAAAAAAATGACCGAAAAGGCAAAAAACCCCTACTAGCCTAATTTACCCTTTTTTATGTTACCATTTGTTTAAAAAACAAAAAAATTTAAATTGCTCTCCATTTTGTCATAGCACCTTGGGCTGTTTTGTATGATGCCTACTATCTTTCTAAGAACACTTTGTTTTCTTAAGTCATGATTGATGATAGTTGCCTTGAGGTTTGATTTGATAAATGTGTTTTCCTAAGATTTCAGATTGGCAAGTAAGTTATTCATAAAAGAGCAAGGTTTTACAATTCACCGTTTTCCCGAATTTGTAATATGCATTTTTTTTTTAATCTAGCTTTAGGATTTATTGGAAAGAAAAATGACCAGAAAAAATAGGATTTTTTGCAAGCCAGAGTGAAGAATTTTATGTTCACTATATGCCAACTATCATGTACTTCATACATGGATGCACCAATATTGATCTTTTCTCAAACAATTTATGAAAGGTTTCAAAAGTAGTATTGGCAAACACATTTTGTTTCTAGGAATTTAGATGTTTTTGATGTTGGCACAGGACATTTATATGGGGTAGCTTCAAAGTTCAATTTACAAAAAATAA